GTATCTTTTCTGCTATTACTTGAACAGCCTACAATAATACAGTGAACCATGACAAAAGTTGCTATACACCCGTGAAATGACGTGGTTCGATACGCTTTGTTTATATATATGCGACACCAACATGGCGGATAGCAACCGTCGTCAAGCAGTTAGTCACGTGAGTGAAAACCAAGAATACCCCACCCCTCCCTTGTGTGTTTCCTTGTGTTCCTCCCCATTAGTTTCCATACCCTCGCGTCTTTGAGCAAAATCCAAGATGGCGTACTACGGTCAACAACAGGCATACGGACAGCAGGCCCCTGGATTTGACCAAAACTTCTTATGGAACATCTTCCAGAAGTAAATAATATCACTTTACTTTAGTTAAATAGTTGAACTTTCCATCTATTAATCTTGGGATTTGTTTTTAGGGTTGATAAGGACAGAAGTGGGGCAATTTCTTCCAATGAACTTCAACAAGCACTGTCAAATGGTAAGTCCTACTAAGTAAAGGTTAAAGTTAAATTTTGCTTTGTTTAACGCAATATTTGATTGAAATTACGAAGTTTAAACTTCTTTTTTTGTGTTGAGGTGGCCAAAATGTCAAAAAAGTATTTTTTCAAGGTTTCTTCGATATGGAGAACTGTAAAATTTGCTTGAAAAACTATAGAACTGCTCTATGAATGATAATTTTGACTTTTTGTACTATTGTACACGTTCTGATCATATTAAATTAGCGATCTTGTCAAAAAAGATGACTCCTAAATGATGTTTTTAGGCCGGTTAAATATGGTTTTGTACTTTTCCGTTTTCTGCTCTCTTACCATGTGGAAAAGTTGCCAATAATACCCAGGGGGTCTTTATTGTATTACTTTTCAAATGTATCGAAACCCTGAAACAACCTCTGGGCTGATCAAAGTCAGGGCATGGCTAACTCACAGATCAAACCCTGAAATAACCTCTCCAGTGATCTTTAAGTCAGGGCATGACAAACTAACAGATCAAATCAGGGTTTAGCATGTTAGGTTTCGCAGAGGGAGGAAAATAGAGAACCTGGAAAAAACTCTCAATTCAAGGGCCAAGGGCATTTGATATTTTTCTCTTATTCTCTCTATCTTCATTACATACAACGAATGCATAGTTTATCAATACTATACTATATCAATTCAAGCGAGAGACCTAACAAACTTTACTCTCATGTGATGCTGATTTTCATGGACAGGAATCAAACCTGAGGCCCAGAGGTGGAAGGGGATCACAACATTGCTTTAACATTTGTCGTTTGCAGTCTTCTTTAATTTAGACCCTGTAATTCACAATCAGTGTTACATTTCTGAAAGCTGTTAATCAAAACCACTTTGGTACTTACTGATGGGATAGAAGTTTTTTATTTTAGATAATTTATTTATTTATTTTATTTTAATTAGTATATGTAATAGGACTCCATGCTGTCCAATTAAGAAATAATTGGACGAGGAAAATTTCAAGGGCTGACAAAATTGGATGAGGCTGTAGGCCGAGTCCAATTTGGCAGTCAGAGGAATTTTTCGAGTCTAATTATTTCTTGATTGGGGAGCATGGAATCYCATTACCTATTAATTATATAGCTTCCTAATTAATCCCATATCAACAGCTTCTCATTAATCCCATATAGGTAACTGTCCAATTATTTTCTTAATTGGACAGTTACCTATATGGGATTAATGAGAAGCAGTATAATTAATATTTTAACAGGAACATCTAATTTAGCACAGCCTAGTTTAAATAGAGTCCTGTAGTTTAAATAGAGTCCTGTAAACATTTCCATTGGTCATGTCAAACAGGTCTTTCCTTAGTTTAATAAATCAGATGCATTCAGGTAAAGTTTAAAAAAAGATGTTTGTACCCAAGCTAGACCACAATGCACCATGTTGGTTATCTCAGAAAAGGTCTGTGTAGCAGCATGAGAGTAAGATTCTTTGTTTATGCCTGGGTAAATGATGTTAGAGTCTTCAAAATATGATTCTATACTGGGACACATCTATAGCTCCTGTTATCATGGCTGTCATGTGAGAAAATGAGATTTCAAAATGTGTAAATCTTATCATTTTATAGGAACTTGGACCCCTTTCAACCCAGAGACAGTCCGTCTTATGATTGGTAAGTCATTCCAGACTACATCAAAAGATATATGTGGTATATATTTTCCCTAATGCATATATCATTTTATAGGAATGTTTGACAGGGATAACAATGGTACTATCAACTTCCAAGAGTTTTCAAGCCTTTGGAAGTACATCACAGACTGGCAGAATACCTTCCGCAGTTATGACCGTGACAACTCTGGAAGCATTGATAGAAATGAATTAAAAACAGGTATAGAAAGAATTTATATAAGTTATCCAATTTTATGATAGTTGATTTCCAATGAACAATTAATTTTGTTGAAGAAGCAAAACAATTCAAAAAAGTTAATTTCTTGTTGAAAATGTGGTATTTTTCCAACCTGGAGCTTGGAATTTTTTTTCAGAGAAAGATTTGCTTGACGAAACATAAATCTTATACTTATTAATTATTCATGAGCTCATCAACCAACCGGTTTCTTATTTGTACCAAGTGCAGTAGTTTGAAACCCCCACTAAATACGACCACACCCATTTAAAAGTTCTAGTACTTTGAAATATTTCGAAGTGCATTTCATATGACTAATTCAATGTTTTTTTCTTCCTCAGCTTTAACAAACTTTGGTAAGTTTTTTTTTCACTTTAAAAAATGTTAATTGAATTAAAGAAACTTCGTTTTCTCCTACTGTATATTAAATTGCTGGTTGGCTCAGGATTTTGGTACTGCTATTTCATAAAAAGGTTTGATTAAGGTTTTGTTGCATGGTGCATGTGCATTTCAAGTCCAAAATGGAATGGTCGTTGTGAATGCAATCAGAGAAAGGTCACATCAATGTGGAACTTTACCAGTTTTACTTTCTCTGCATGTTTTTCCAGCATATTTTCTTATGTGCTACATTTGAAGCGTGGTATGCAACATCCAACATGCAAAAAAAAAAACCTTTCTTGAAATTGTTGTATATGACAAGCATACCACAAGCTTGCACTGTTATTTAAACAGGGTTCATATTTATCGATGTTGCTGTCAGAAAGCTTGAATACAACATAGATCATCATACCTGATGATAACAGTCCTCTAGTTACAATGAATTCAGTGATTAAAGTAATTTTCTTGTTTACTGTATCACAGGTTACAGATTGTCTGATAGATTTTATGACATTTTAATCAAGAAGTTTGATCGATCTGGTCGAGGTGTTGTTAACTTTGATGACTTTATTCAGTGCTGTGTGGTTATTCAGGTTAGTGAAGTTTCATGTCTCTAACCCCTGCGTCCCATGGATTTATACATACCTCAACAGATTTTTCATAAATTACCCAGAACATATATACTTATTTCAATAAAGCTAGTCACCAAAAACCTAGAAAGCTGTGATCACTGAGAATCATGGGGAAATGTTTTATATTCAACCAGTAAAGCTTTTGACAAAAACTACAGCTGCAGTTGAGGATGCTCAGAGGAGGTTAACTTGTAACTACTGGTAGAAGATCTCAAGTCCATCAACAGTTATCAAGCGGTTGAAACATGTTGGTCTCAGCTTAGTAGCTTTTCAGGTGACTAACTTTATTGAAATAAGTGTATAGAGTACAAACAATAAATGCGTGCAATAGTTATCACTATTTAGCAGTAAATAGCACTAATTAAACAAAAGAAAGCAATAGAATTTGCATAAAATAGCACTATTTAGTGATATTTATGTTGCACACTTTTAGCATTTGCATTCTATTTACAGCTTTGTTACTTATAATCTCTAGATATTCCCTGGTGGTTGGCAATTGGAATAATAATAATAAAACAATAAATGAAACAATGAAAGGCGGCTAATTCCCTACTCATTATAGYATTTAGTTTAGGACACTTATTTAGATGAAAAAAATTCTTCTCAAAATATTTGTAGATTGGCTGCTTATGTTAGAAGATGCCAAAAGTATCTCTTGAAAAAGACTCGTAGTGTTGCAATAATGTTTTTTTCTTTTGACATATTCTAGATGTTAACAAGTGCATTCCAGAACTATGACACCAACAGGAATGGCTGGATCACTATCGGCTATGAACAGTTTCTTTCATTGGTCTTCAGCATCAAGACCTAACTGACAAGCCAGCCATCACTAATTTACTCTTGTTGAGAATGCTAATTAACCATTATTGAGACAATTCTAGAGTTCTGTAACTACAACCTTTGTTATTTAATATTATAGTTTGTAGTCACTAAAAAGCCATTGGGATAAAATTAATGAATTAGCATGTATTCAAATTACATAGCAATAGGATAGACCTTTCCTTAATTCACTTGAGTGTCCAAATTGTGGTGGAACTTGACATGTTCATACGTTTACTGTGAATTATCAAGACCAACCTTGACTTGAAGCAATTGTTTTATGGTTATTCAAGTAAATTTTGGAAATATCTATTTTTTAAATATATATTTCATGTACAAATTTGCAGTATACTAGTTATTTGTAATGTTTTTCTTTGCGAGCATATGACCTTTGTGTAAGAATCTATTCTGTGCCTTGAAGTTACAAATGATCACAGTAGTTCAACATCTAATTTATTCAACCGATGATCAACTGATTCAATGAGTGAAGTGAAAGAAATTCATTTATATCATTTGTAAGGTTATTACACTAGGATAAGCTCAAAATATGCCTTGTATTGTCTTTTAGTGTTGTGTTAGATTTAAGACAAGCTAGCTAGACCAATGGAGTATGCAACCATTAGCACTGATTGCCAGCAATGAAATGCACCTTGGAATATTTTTCCAGAAGATGGACAGTTAAAGAGTGCAATTTTTGCTTGGAACAAAATAGAATGTTACAAAGAAACACTATAAAATATGTCAAACTAAATGTGGTGTTTTATGTACACTGCTAGCAGAACTCACTTTTCATCTTTCTATTTTTCCCAAGTCATTCAATTTACTGGTTTTTTGTGCTTGATGCTTAGAAAGAACCATGAAAAAAAA